TTCCTCGGCAGAAATTCAGCCGAGACTCAGTCGTATCCATCTTTTGGCTGTTTAGGCGGTATTCCCAAAACAGCATGACATGGTCACTCTTACCGAGTGGTGCTATGGACCTAAGTTCGTCAGAACTAATTCGGTCTTTTGTAAGGTGGAGGTCCAGACAATTTCCTCTTTGAGCCTCTCTGATTCTGGTTGGAAAGGTAACATTATGTAAGAGAAAGAGATTAGCCGATAGTTCCAAAAGCCTCGAATCAAAGGAATTTCGCGAACCCTATACTAATAATTTGTTTCAGTCGGCCACGGGTGCGTTTAGTCTCCGGTTATCAGTACCTTTTGGTTTCGTGTAACCTCTTTAATTAACCCAGACATTGCCTCGTCAATCTCAGGAATTTGACTGGCCGGCCTGTGTACGGTTAGGAAATTTAGATTGGGTGCGCATTGATCCTTAGTTTTAACCACACTGCTTCAGGGTTACGGGAACAATCAGTTTTGTGTTTCGGCTCGATGAATCCTCTATTGACTTTGATCGGTAGTCCTCCTCCTTTTTATGCAGTCTTTCTCGACGGAAAAGTTGGTATTCATCGAGTACAATTTCCGAATCAAGAGCCGAGTCCGACTGAGTATCATGGACTTATTCTGCTCTCCAACTGGGGCTATTTCGGTTTGGTTATCACTTAAGATTTACTGTCTCTGACATTCACACCGAAAATGTACGTATAAATAACCGTATGCCTATTTGGAATATTTTTTATGCGTCGGAATTTGTCAGGGAACTTAGTCAAGTGCAATTTGTTTATCTGCGCGATTCGACTGACTACACAGCCGACTCGCGGTTATTCACGGCCTAGGAAAACAATCGCTCAAAATCCTTTAAGGTCTGAGCTGATTCAAGTCATACGAGATCTGCGATCAGCTGAGTAGTATCTGATCAAACTTCACACAATTTACCAGATTGTCAGTATTTTTTCGCTCACTGAGTCTTGAATACTCATTTTAATTCGCCTTATACAATCAGACGTATTCGTTACAACCTCGAAAGCGAAAACACATCTTTTCTCTCCTGTCGAAGTTTATGCAGTCGTAGAAATCTAACTGTAATGGTACGGCCCGCGCCGGCATCTCGGTAGATGATAAGTCTGATGAGATGTCCTTCGCATCCAGAATCTGCGATCGCTAAATCTGATCTTCCAGCCAACGACCAGCAAAGCGTAACAAAAACGTAATTGCCATGAAATGTGTGAGGTACGAGGACGACCTTTGTGATGGGCGCGCATATATCTAAATCAAAGTAAGACAGCTTGGAAACGAGCTTGCTGACTTAGGGACGTTCGTGCAGCAGAACCTTCATGACCAGAAGGTTAGCAATGATAAAAAATCCAAAAAATCAAAACGCGAAAATCGTGAACACTATTGCATCGGGCGCATCTCCAAGCACCGGTAACAATTCAGTAAGTACATACGCGGGTGCCGGTAACAGCAGGACAACGACAACGAAGCTGCCGATAAGGACAGACTCGATTTCCACGCAAGAAGACCTAAGCGGTTTTCACAGCCGTATTCCACATGGGAGCGTCCTGGGTCCTATTCTGTCCTTGATATATGTAAACGATTGCCTAGACTGCCTAACCTGCGAGGATGTGATGTTCGCTGATAATATTAAGATGTGGGGCTCAACTGGGAAGCCGGAGGACGCGGTAAACTTGCAAAAAAACCTAGATCTACTGCAACGATGGTGTGATGAATGGCCTCTCAACCTCAATTTCAACAAATGTCAGTTATTTGGACTAAGGTGTAGTTACAGAAAGGATTTGGGACCTGAATGTCACTTTTTCCTTGGCAACCACGAACTCGAGCTTGTAAATGAGGCAAAGTACTTTGGCATGTGGAAGACGTCAACTCTCAAACCCTCGTTTCACTGCGCCAAGATAGCAAATAAGACTATGGGCATTCTGGGAGCGATTAGGAGATCCTTCCTCAACTTCGGCCAAGAACCTTTCGGCCGATTGTTTGGAAAATTTATCTTGCCGATTTTACAATACGGTATTCAGGTATGGCGCTCCTGGGTGAATCAAGATTGCACTCTTTTGGAGAAGGTGCGACGAAAAGCGACTAAACTTATCGGTGGGCTAAAGAGTCTAGCTTATGAGGAACGGCTATACAGGCCTAAATTTTTCTATCTGTGTTATAGGCAAGAGAGGGGACATGATCATGGTCTTCAAACTTGTCAGAGGAGTAGATTGTGCAATCAAATTGACCGATTATTTGAACTGGCACAAACAACAAATCTTTGAGGTCACAGATATAAATCCAAGACGAAGTACGCAAAGCTTGAAGTGTGGACGAATTTCTTCTCCCGTCGGGTGACTGAGGATTGGAACAAATTATCTGAATATGTTGTTTTGGCCCAAATCGTTGAGACATTTAAACGAAACCTTGAAGGCCGTTTTTATGATGGCCATGTATTTACCTAATAAGAAATGCTAAAATATACCCCTATATCTACTTAAAAATACGCACGTTTTCAGTATGTGTCTGTAAATAGGGGTTTCAAAAACTATGCCTATCTCCCTTACATATACTGAATTATACTGAAAAGCGATGTTGAAAAAATAGTGCCTGTCGCGTGAGCCATCTAGTTTACTCTTCTCGCGGAATGTGACGGAATTTCTTTTTTTACCAATGGACGATATAGCTAGGTCACCCAGTCTACTTTTGCCCTCTTCTTCTGGCAACTATCGCGAGTGCTCTATACATCGGACATTTGAATGAAAAGACAGGAGCTCGTGGGTAGGGAGGATAGGGGGACAACAGAGCAGGAGTCTGAAGTTACAGCCAGTCCTGATGGGTTACTTGGGACCGGCAGTCGACAGCAGAAGTGTGCCTCCAAGCGACAACTCCGAAAATAATTCTCGCCCACATGCAGAGAATTCGCCGGAAAGACAAAATAGGGAGGACCGTGACCGCCAACCGTGCCTGGTTGTTCTGGGCTTGTCTGAATCGAATGCAGTCGGACCTGAAGACCGTGACTCGGGAGATCTTGACTCCTTTCATGGTTTGCTAAACCAATTACATCACGCAGACATGGAAACAAAGGCCTTGAAAGCATTCCGGGTGGGAAAACGGAGTGACGACAGGACAGCAGCACTTCCATCTGGTCCTCTGAAAATTATCCTGGACAGATAATTTCAAATCAAGTTAATCCTCTCCAGAGAAACCAACCTCAGAAACAAAAAGAAACAGGTTTTATAACCGGACTACTCATCGGCGGAACGACTGAATCGCCGGGAACTCGTCTTGGAGTTAAAATTGAGACTAAAGAGTGGCGAAAACAACATGGTTATCTTCATTGTCATTTGGTGCCTCTGCTAGCAGTGAGGTATTTGTGTGTGGACTCTGCTCTCTCCTGTCGATATTCTGAAGTACCTAGGCTTTTCAGGATGCTCCGAGGCAAAGCCATCTAACAACTCACAGTTAATGTATCGTCGTAAAGGATAAGTCTGAGTCTGCTTCGGAAACCCCAAACAATATGTTACACCACGACAATGAATCGGTCAGAAACACCTCAAATCCCTCTTAAACGTGAACCCCATTGTCCTAAAAGTTCCAAGATCGGCCTAACGAAGGATTTAAACCATGAGTCGAGCCAAATCAAACCCGTTAAAGGTTGTCTACAAAATGTGAAGCCAGCGGCGCTACAACTAAATAGGAAACCATGACCACGAAACGCCCTTCTAGGAATTATTTTTCTGAATGGCCGAGAGAGAAACAAAGAGGGAATTCAAGGCCAAAATACTCAGAAGATCCACTTCAGATAACAAATCTAGCAACATTCGACAGAGAAATGGTAAATGTTCAGAGGTCGTTCCTCTATGAATAATCAATACC